TAAATGCATTTTATTTAATTCGCTTGATACTTCATTTTCATATTGAAAAATTGTCTCCTGTGAATAATCCATTGACGTTGACGGCGAAGGACATGAAGAAGGTAAGGGGGATGGGAACGGAGATAGGGATGGAAGGGAACTGGAATCTACATCCATAACCAAATCATCCGAATCATTGAAGCTAATTTTGATACGAGGATACTTCGAATCTATATTATTGGAACTTAAACTATTTTTTCTAACCTTCAAAGACATCCATCCCGATCTAATGCTATTTTTTCTACCCTTCAAAGACATCCATGTCGATTTAATGTTATCATCCTCTCGAATATTATTAAGTTCTAAAATTACTTGACGAATATTTGGTCTTTCAACTGGTTCAAGTTGCCAGCATTCTATTTATAAAAATAAAATAAATTCATTTGAAAATAAAAAGTTTATAAAAGAGGATTATACTTACTTTCATAAAGCTCAACAAATGTGGAATTTGTATTTAGAATAGGTTTCTCTCTTTTACCATTGAAAATATCTATAAGAGTTATTTCTTCAGTATCGAAAGGTGGTGAACGACTTGTTAATTCCCAGAATAATACGCCTAAGCTATAGATATCATATTGTTTTCTTAATTTATTATTAATATTATAAAAATTAAGATTATTAAAAGTGATAGGATCCATATAAGGAGCTACACCAATCAAATTTTCAGTGTAGTGTACTGATTCTTCTAATCTACGTGAAATTCTAAAATCTGCCAGTTTAATTGAATGTTGATGCACTAATATATTGTTCGAATGCTATGAAATTTTATAATTAACAATAGCGTAGGAATTATAATAAATCATGAAGTAAATTAACTTACAAGATCCCGGTGTATAATTCCATTATCGTGCAAATACGAAATTGCATCAGCAATTTCCTTGGCAAATTTTAGTTGATCCTTCCATTTAAAGGTGCTAGAATTTTCCTTTAAATATTGTCTTAATATTCCACCATTTGCATATTCAAGAACAAGTAAATAGTTTGTTCTTTTAGTAATTTCGACTAAAAAACTCAAAAAAATTAAATGACATTAATACTAAAAAAATTTTGTATTTAGCAAAAATTGGTTAATTATTATTGTACCTTCATTTTTTGTAATTCCCCAAAATATAATAATATTAGGATGAGAATGAACTTCCCTCATTATTTCAATCTAAATAATAAATATAAATATTTTTGATAATAGAAATAGATAGATATTTTAATAACATACCTCATTAATAATTTCTTTCATATTTAAATTTTTGTGAAATTTTTTAATTGCAAAAACTTCATTTTTCCAATTTACAGTAAAAACTGAAGCAGTTGATCCAGAACCAATTTCGGTTACATACTTAAAATCCGTATGATCATATAAAGTAATTTCTTTAGTATCAAACCATTCTGATTAGTAATAATAAAATTCCAATAAAATATTTTAATGTATAACATTTTATATATAACAGAATTTATTATCGAGTTGAAAGTTAATTTAAAAGTTAGAAAACTAAACAATGATAATATATTCCAAGGAAAAAATAAGATCTAAAACTAGAAGTTTGTTAAAAGAATAGGTTACCTTCAGCGTCTTCGTCATAATAATTATCTAATAAATGAAAATATAATTATAGAATACATTAAAAGTTTCTTATTTGTTATGATTTGCTATATTTCTTACCTGCATTATCAAATGCCGATTTTACCATTTCTCCAATATCATCATACTCTACACAATTTATAATACAATTATACCAAAAATTAAATTTCTTATATAAGTTCTTTGCTGCAGGCCTTCGGTCCGGATTAGCATTTATACATTTATTAACAAAGTCCTTATATATTTTAGGAGTCTCTTTTCCAAATTCTGGTATACACTTGTTTTTAAATAGAAAATTTCCGGATGATAATTCAATCATAACCATACCAAAGCTATAGATATCAGAAGCTAAAGAGTATGATTCTCCCTTTATAATTTCGGGGGCAATATATTGCAACAATTCCAATTCATTATTTATCGCGATTGTCTGTTTAATTGATTGAGTTAGTTTAAAATTCGTAATATAAATTTTTGAATCATCATCTAGCATTATACTTCCATAATGGAAATTATTATGACTATATCCTAACTCATGTAAATTCCTGAGTTTAAATGAAGTATCACGTAATATTTCAATTTTTTGTTTCCATAATAACTTTTTATCATTTTCAAGTAAAGTCCGCAAAGATTTTTGATTTCCATAGTGTGTGATCATTATAAATTCTTGAGTTTCTGGATGTTTAGACATTCCATAAAACTTTGATGAAATAGCAACTTCTATGTTAGAGAATTCCCAATGGTTTTTAATCTATAATTTAAACAAGATACAATTTTTATTAATATTAAATATAATTCACACCATTAATAAATAGTAAAGATTTTTCTATACTGAACAGTTAAATTATATAACTCGCATAATTATAAATTGAATGATCTAAATAGGAAATCAAATAGAAAGCTATACCTCATTTAAACAATCAGCTGATAAATTAAATTGTTTCAAGAAAACTTTTACAGGTTGTGGTTCATTTTTCAAATTTCCATTCTGCTCAAGGTAATTATCTCTACCATCCAACCATACCGCCAAATAAACTTTATCAAAGCCATCTTCATATAATTCTATGTTAGTAAATCTATCAAATGATATCCATTCAAGCCATCTTCCGCCATTCCTTGCTTTATACATAGTATTTTTGATAAATGTGTCAATACGAACATCTCCACTGGTCCATCCTTCGCTTATTCGATATGGAGAATCGCATTTTTTTACATTGTTTTTCAATAAGTTCTTCGTCGCAATAGGAACATTTTCTATTTTTTATTATTTGCATTTTATTTTCGTCATTATCAAAATTATCAGCATATGCATTATTACTTTCTGTATCTGTAGCAATATTACATGAATTAATATATTTTGTTAATTATTTATAAATATCTAAATTTGAATTTACCTTTCAAGTCAAGTTGTTCTTTTACAATTTTCTTATTAAAATTTCTTTCGTTCAATGTATATCCGATTAGGTCTAAGCAACAATCCTTTCCACCAATATCAAGGTTCAAAGTTTTATAATCTGATGATAAAATACAAATTTGGACATCAATATTTGTCAAAGAATCCATACAATCGGCGTCATCCAAACTCGAATGATTAAGATTTGTATTAGTATATATTTGAAAATAAATATAATTCTTTGACCATTTATCCAGCTTTATATTTATAGGCTCATAATATTTTGTTGATAAATAAGCATTGACAAAAACAGTATATCCTCGAGATAATTGGTTAGAAGTTTCAACTGAATAGTAATAAAGATCGGGTTGTAATGTAATAGATTTTGTAAAATAAACCAACTGTAATTCTCGATTCTTTGGACTAAATACTGATAATTTCGAAGGTTTTCCAATAATCATCCATAAAATAGAACATTCTGTAATTTTAATATTTTGATCTTTTAAGGTTCTTATCATCACAGAGAATCCATTAAAGTCACATAATCCAAATGAAACAAAAATTTCCGATTTTAAACCATTATTAAACATAATTGATCCAAAAACTTGAAAATTTTCATCTTCCAACGATGGTTCTATATTGATTCGTTTATAATGCTCAGTATTATTAATATTTAAATCTTTCAAATCCACAATCCCTGTCATTATAATTTTAAAATTATCTTGCTCATTTAATATAACATCTATTTTATTCCGTTGATCTTCTCCGAGGATTTTATATAAAGAAATTATTTTATCATACTCAATAATTTCTAAATAATTATTTGTATTTTGAATCCAATTAGATAATTCATCTTTTTTAATAACATTTCCTTTTTGTGTCAAAAGATATGAAAATTTAATTTTATCTAAATGTGATTTTAAGGATCCAAATTCTAGTGATCCTAAATCAACTTGTTCGGAAATTTCGGGAGAGGCGGTGTTTGGTAAAATATTTTTAAGAGATTTTCCCAATACAATATTTAACGGAATAAAGTGCCCATACTCGTCAAATACATCTTTCAAACTTGCAAATGGCTTCATATCATCAAGCGCGGTTTCTATAGCTTGTTTAAATTCTTCTGAAGGTTTAATGTCATCCTCATTCAATAAAATTCTATATTTTTCACATTTGACCAGAAGATGTGTATAACCTAAATAACTTAAATCATCAGATTCAATACAACTTTTCATAAACGGAAAAAATCCTAAATTATTAGCCGAATAAATATTATTGGATAATAAAAATTCTTCTAAATTGGTTTTTGGTTTGATCAATTCCAAATCAGAATAAGCATTACCACTTGCATATACAAAAGGAAACTTGATGAGATTAATGGCTATTCTCTTTCTAATTTCTAATTCAAAATGTTTATTAATTGATAGATAGGCCTTGAAGAATATGAAAATCTTTAACCCATTTTGTCAACTTGATATACATAGAGTCTTCAATCCACTCTTCCAAGCTTAATTTCTCTTTAAAATTAGCAATTTCAGGTTGCTTATCAACTAAAGTATCTTCCAATGATTTATTGGATCTTAAATCAGAAATGGGAATGAGACTATTGTAAGAAATTATATCAACCACATTCTTTTGATATAAATCATCCATCCAAACGGCTAATTTGTCAAGAGTATTTAACTCTTTCCCATCTGATGTCCTTATTTTCGGAAAAAAATCTATAGTAATAAATGAATTTTCTTTATTGTATTTAGCTGAATCATATGCCCAAGTTAAATGAGATTTATAAGCATCAATTTGTGTTGAATCTGACTCAAAATCATCGATAAATAATTTACCACCAACCAAAACTTTTCTTGAAAACAGATGACCGTACATCTCATGTAACTTTTCATCATCATCATACATAAAGCTCAAAAAAGACTTCAATGATTCGGCGTTATATGTAATTTCTGCAACCGGAAAAAGTATACATATATCTGATGGCTTTAAAACTTTGTTAATATTAATATTGTCAGGATAAATAGCCAATAAATTTGTGCGAGACTTGTGATCATTGATAAATGTATATACTAAAGGTTGTCCATTATACAAACTTATATCCAATTCACCATCATCTGATACTACAGCATGTTTACTATGTTTCATACTTTATCCGTCCAAGAATAAGCCATGATTTAACTTAAATTGTTGAATAGTTTGTTGCTTAGGTGATAAATCTAAATCCATTTGATTATTTGCATTTAGTGATGATATCATTGATTTTAAGTTTGTGACGACATCTTGAATAGTTGGTCTCATATCTTGATCTTCATCCCAACATTCTAATAAAAAAAAAAGATTTAAATATGAATTTGCATTATTGTTAATAATTTTAATTTATCAAAAAATAAAATAATTGCTTACTTGTGTAAAGATTAGAATATTCCTTGGGTGTTCCCTCCACTATGCATTCTCTTGATCCACATGCAATCTCCATAACCAGAAATAAATCATATTCTTTTTTAGCAAAGGGTTTTATCCCACTAGATAATTCCCAAAATAATACACCAACGCTATAAATATCACTTTTTTCATTCAACGTATTCTTTCCAATTTGCCTTTCATCACTTGGTGAATTTTCGAGTGGCTTTTCTACTTTTATTTTCTTTCTTGTAAGATTAAATACTTCCGGATCAATGTATGGAACTGTATCAAATGAATTTAATGAAGTATTTTCATAAGATTCCACGTCACCTTTAATACGCACACTTAATCCAAAATCGGCCAATTTAATTGAACTTTGATGCACAAGCACATTGTTTGGATGCAAATCTTTATGTATGATTCCTTTTCCATGCAAGCATTCTATTGCACTTGATATTTGAAGGGCCAAACTATACTTGTCTTGCCAGTTCAATGAATGAAAGCTTTTTTTCAAATAATTACGAAGTGTACCTCCATCTGCATATTCTAAAACCAAAAAATAATTTTTATCTACAAAAAAAAAATTATTTGAATTTTTTTTTATAGTATATATTATAGCGTATAAACCTTTTAAAAAAAAATATTTACCCGAATCAATTTTAGTTATTCCAAAAAATTTTATAATATTTTCATTATGAATATTCCAATGTAAATTTATCTTAAAAAAAAAAAATAAAAAAAAACTTTTATTTTTTTTATTTATTTATTTTTTTTAAAAAAAAAAATCTTAACAATTGCTCATACCTCGCAGATAATCTCTTTGACAGTATCTTTATCTAAATTAAATGATTTCAACGCAAAACATTTTTCACTTTTCCAATTTGCTCTATACACTTTCCCAACTAACCCACTACCTATTTCTTCAATATTACTAAATTCATTATATTCATAGTAATTTATACGTCTATTCTCTATACTTCTTTCGATCCAATCAATTGAAGACATTTAAAATACAATAATTCAAGTAAGTAAAAAGAAATTGAGTGAAATTTTTATAAATTGTCACTCGATAACATAATATAGTGAGTGATATGCAGGTAACACAATATCGAGGAGTCAATGTCGGAGTCAAACTCCTGATATATATGGTAACACAATATCGCCGATCAACACATAAATAACTGCCTGCTAACAAAATTTTCATACTTCGTTCTTTAACAAAATGTTTGACATTTCAAATATTTTCCCGAATAATGTAGATGTAGCGGTAATTATAAAAAACATGGAAGAGCGTCCAAAGTACGTCAAATTAAATCTTAAAGATAATTTATCAAAGATTCGTCAAGATTTGAAAAAAAATGATATTATTAATAGTACATTATCATTTTCAAAGTATCTTGAAATTAACGATGAATGTGCAGAAATTTTAGATGAAGAAAATTATCTCTTAAGTCAGATTATATATAATAATAATAATAATGGGAGGATTTTATATTTAGTTAGAAGTTCAAAAATTGACTGGAAATTTTTTAACGAAAGTCATAAATTAGATTTTGGATGTACCATGGGAATTGACGGAATTATAAGAGCGAATTTAAAAGCATTCATCATTCAAAATTGTGATTCGAGTAAATTTGGTGTTGAAGGATATCGAAGAAGGAAAGTTAAAATAAAAACAAAAGAAAATTGGATGATGAATACAAATTTAATCTTTGATATTGCTGTGAAAAATTTTTTAAATTTAGAAATATCAAGAGAAACATCGAGAGATGATACGTTAAACTTTGAAAGTAGTAGTGAATTTGTAACATTTGGTAAATTTTCTTTGAAAATTAAAGATTTAGAACCAACCTCGGAATTTCTCAATGCAGTGAAAAAAGCAATAAAATCTAAAGACCCTAACAGTTTTAGACAAATTACTAGGGATTTCGGTCTGTTTATCCCAACCGAAATTATTTTAGGAGGAAGAGTAAATTATGATGATGTAAAGTTATCAGAAGGTAATTTTGTAAGAAGTTCTAAAGGGGGCGCTATTAAAGTAGATCAAGCTCTTTTCAAGGCAAAGTAGCCATCGTTTCTAGTAGTTCGAGAGAAAATTCAAATTATTATAGCTCCGATCGTGTTAAATTAATTGGTGGGGAGCAACCCAAAAACCTAAACGAATTTGATGAGAAAGCTTGGGTTGAATCTTTAAATGATTCTAACAATTGTTATCCTATAGAATTTCGAGAATCAATTAGTATTTTTCAAATTTTGCCTGATAACTTACGCAGACAGGTCATTGAATCTGTTGGAAAAAGGATACATTATACAAAGTTTGAAGAGATCAAGTATACCTTAAAGGAACGTGGTAGTGCAAAAATCTTTCCATTGGAAATGTCACCAAAGATCTCGAAAATGATGAAAAACAAAGATGCAGATTGTAACATTTTTGCAACCGTTATTGATGTAATGGGATCAAAAAATGATTTTTTTACATGCCAAATTCTTTGTCCGCCAGGAGGAAAACCAGACCTCATAATTCATTGCATTCAAGATACACCTCAATTACGTATATGCGAATTGAAAGTTGGATGGATGGTAATTGGATATTATACAGATTTCAATTCTATACTTTCAGATTTAAAACTCAATTAAATGTTCTGAAAAGTGATTTCACTTTTGTTGAGAATGGACCTGCGATTAATACAGAATCATTAAGTTTTGAGTATGACCCAATCATTAGAGAAATCCCTCCTTGCTTAGGAATTCCAGTGTTGAGTAAATTAGATTCCTCAAATAGATCCATCGTTATAGGACATCATTTTTTCAATCCTCAAGAAAATAAAATTGGAAAGTGCACATATTCTTATTGTTCAAAAAGTAATCAATGTACAACGCTACCCGATTTTACTTTTTATACGCTTATTATTTCAAATTATATTATTCCCGATGATTTTGGCTCCATTTCTTGTCAAACATCACGTTCTATTATGTCGTTTAGGAGACAATACACTGTTCTCAATAATGACATCAAAGAAGAAAATACTCGTTTAAATTATATTAGCATATATTCTACAAAAGTAGCTAAATACGGAGCTATTTTTATAAAGCGGATTGACAATCAAGTTAAAGTCAAATTTGTTCCTTGTAAATGTGGAACCACTTGTATAAATAATTCAGAATTATTAGAAAAAGATATTGATTTTAAATATTTTAACCCCCCAAATATCAGGTATTTGTTTTTATTATCCGATCTTTATTTGCTTTTTTTTTTGTTATATTGATAATTTCTTTTTTATTTTTTAGGGACAATGATTCCAATTTGTAATAAAAATTCAGACTAGATTAGATAAATTCTTAAGATATTCTTCACTACTCTAAATTATATATACTTTACAGAAACCTATCGATTTTGAAATATATTATAAACATATTACTGACAGATAGCAATTTTTTATTCGACATATGGTCAAAAAATTTTAACGTAGGTGATATGTTTGTAAGATGTTTTACATATAAATAAAACATATTTGTAATATTATTCCACATTTCGAAAATTAAGTTGAAATTTATATTAAATATTAACTTGATGGAACAAAGAATTATTACGCATATAAAATAAAATAATTAACATTATAATATTTTGCAAATATTAGCATATGTAAATTGGTGCAGTGTTTGGTCATGCAAAGACCAATAGATCAAATTACCATAGGGTCTATTGGTCTAATAGACTATTGAATGACTCAGGTCTATTACATAATCACGTGATTTTAAATAATTGGCAAATATAATGATAAATATTTTTTATCTTCAAAAAAAAAATGCCATACTGTATAGAGATTAAAATTGATCTTTTAACTTATATTATTTGCATAAAATAATTTAATTTTAATCAAAAAAAAAAAATTAAAATTACTAGAAAAAAAATTTAATTATAGTTACTTAATTCATTCTGGGGCCTTACAAAAATATCAGCATCCTCACCTTGATGTCGGTGCAGCATCGTACTGTCGGTAATAAAATTTAAATTTGTGAAAATCTCAACAGTAACTACCTTTTTTTTACTTCATTAATGATCTCTGAAATCCATACTATAGATTTAATCTCAGAGGTATTCACTTATTGAATTTTGCTAAAATCAAAATTCTCCATATGATTTATGTGTGAGAGTGTTATAGTTAAGCGAAAATTTTTGTAGGTAATTAATTTCGGAAATCTGAAAGACTATTGGAGTATCGTGTAAAATTTTTTGAAATGATATAAAGCAGGGACTCGCATTATATGGCCTTGACAGTATTTCGCTTTCTATCTAACATTTGTTTCATTTATCTGAAAAATTAATAAAGATTTATTCGCTTTCATTCTTTTTCACTAAGTTAAGGAAAGATTATTGTAGCGTAAATAATTATTTGCAGAGTAAACTACTTTCAAGCCTTTTTTCCGATTTTCTACCCTCTCCCTCACTACATCCGCTTATCATTATCCTCTTGATTCCTTTTCATAGTATTTTTTTAAAAATTTATTAATTTCCATAAAAAATAGTCGATTCTGATGAGTTGTTACTGATTTGATGTACTACTGTACAGAGCCAAATTCATCACATTTTTAATTATCTATCTCCTCTTGAAACATTTTTCTATTTGGATGAATTGTACTAAGTACTCCTACAATTGAGTGAACTAAATAACGTGACTTGAATAAAATATCTTCAAATTCAACAAAGAAATGTTATAAGGACCACGACAATCTTCTGGAATGTAAAATGTTGAACATGTTATTTATCATCAAAGAATTTATCCAGTGTGTAAACCCTTTGTTGTTTGCCGTGGTACAGAATCGTCAGAGGATGTGATCTTATACAAAAGTTCAATAAAGTAGTTGCGACTAGCAAAAGGGTCATCAATGTAAGCAACTAAAGCCTTCTCTCCTAACGCGCTGCACGTAATATCTTCTCATTAACATTTGAATTGTACGATATATTTTCTTCATCTAGTCTAGCATTTTTACACATATCCTTGCAGTTGGTGGTTCCATCTCCTTGAGCATCCTAAACTATAGTCATTAGTGAATAAAATCATTCTTCCTGAATAATCGAAGTCAAATATTTTGCTCTTTTACAATTATAGAAAAATTTCTTATATCACTTCACTAAGCCGTTTCATTTTAATAATTTTGACCAACTGGGAATATAATGATTGTTAATAATCCTGAGTTAAAGTGTCCAAAATCCAATAACAGCATCTTACCCTTTATGTTCCAACTCGAAAGAGAAAAAAATTAATAAATATTTAATCACTCCGGCCGTCAGAAATTAAAAAAAAATGTAAAAATAAAAAATAAAAAATTGAACTTTGAACCTGAAGAAAAAATGACGATTAGTATATGTAATATAAACAATAGGGTAAAAATATTTAATATAAAACGTAAAATTTTGTTTTTAATATATAATGATTTTCTTAACAAAAGAAATTTTTGGCATTCAAATTGAGATCGATGCGTAATAAATTAATCGAAACTGAAAATCAAATCATTTTAAATTGATTCTACTTATTTAATCAATTCTATTCTCTAAATAAAAGTTGAATTAATTAAATATTACATTTATAGATGTTTATGCCTTTGCAATTGATATTCTATAAATTAGTTGACTGTAAATAGACTTTGTGCAATGTCGGAAACGAACCACAGTAATTGGTTTAATTGAATATTTGTGATTTTGCACGACATTTGCAAAGAGAGTAAGTCTCTGGATATTTCGACAGATTAACCGTAAATTTTAATGTTTTAATTTATATTGTTCATATCATTGCATCGTGTTTGACGAAATATGAGAGAATTTACACAACTATGAAGCGAATTATGCGAAATATTATTCGTTGCTGCAATGATGTCAAAAGTTGTAATAATAAAGGATGCGTATAGTTCGAAAGGACATTATTTGCTACTAATTTACTTTTAATTTTATTATGAAATTTTGAAATTGTACAGTTGAGAGATATGGGAAGTTTGCTAACTCCATCAAAAATCCTCGGGAATGTGACATGTGACCAATAATATGCTAAGACCGTAACAAATAGATATGCGTGACAAATAAGATTTCGCCACTCCAAAAAAACTGTCCCCTGAATAAATAATAAAAACGGAATCTTGTGGGGTGTGACAAATATTTTATTATAATCACGTGTCCGAGGTTTTTTGATGCGTGATCCTGGTGAAGATGGATATATGACGACTTAATGTGTCAACTAGAAATCAATAAGAAGAAGATCTCGCGCTTTTTCATTAGAACCTTTATCAAAAAAATTATAAAAATAATGATGATGATGCTTTTTAAAAACATGTTTTCCTGTGTCAAAAATAATTGTTAGGTTTTTAATATTGAGTTTTTTAAATAACTCTGATTCTATTTCCTCACTTTGTCTCTATTTCTTCAGATGTTTGATCAGTTCTTTGTTATGATCTTATTATAATTGTTTTATTTAATCCAAAATTTATTTTATTAAGAGTAATTGTATTAAAATGAATAAATAAATTGATGTTTAGAAAGAAATGTGTGTTATTCTTTTATCAAGATCGAAATACTCAGCAGATGTTATTTAACTTTTAAAGTGCTTGCGTATTATATGAGTAATATATTTGTCCATTGTGACCGAATAATAATTTATTTACATTACCAAACATCACATTTTCTTTAGAAAATTTATACATGACATGATGACATTTTCCATATTAAACTAAGAACCGGCTAACAACGGAATTCATATCATAAAAACGATCTCGAAAGAAATCAAAAGACACTTCAACCTTCGAGATTCAACTTTTCTAACCAAAGTAAGTATATTTTACAGTAATTGTCAAACACTTGGGTTGCTTTGTGATCGATCACCTAGACTACTGTATGTCATAAAGGTTATTTCTCCGAACGTTCACTTAAGCTATTCGGGCAAAGGTGGTTCTTTCTAATAACACAATGAATCTTCAAACAATTATTATATCACCTAAGCTATACCGCAAGGGTGATCTTTATGGATCAACCGTCTGAGGAAACTGTTAGCAAAGGTATTTCGTTCTGTGAACGCAATAGAAATCTAATTTGAATAAGGCCTACTGGTTCTGGAAAACGAATCGGCTATGCATCTTCCTTATTACACATTAATAAAATATTACTACTTAATTAACACCGTCATTAACGAAATTTTTTTTTATATATTAAGGACGAAGAGGAGCAAAAAATCAATTACTAGTAAAATTCAATGCAAAGGAAAAATGGAAATGTGATTATTTACTTTCATCTTATAAAATTTAATCTTGGTAACTTTATGAACGATCTGACGGATGTATTGTGAATATTTCATATTATCTGAACTAACGATTTCATATCCTTCGATTTAAATTTACACGGCCATCATAGCTGGATCGATAATCAGGCGTTGTCCTGTTCAAAAGTCCAGGATTAAACCCCGGAAGACTTTTAAGATCGGCGATGTATTGATATCTAAGCACGATAACGTCGCTGAAATTCTTTCTAACCTAGGCTTGCTGAATTTGCATTGAAAGCCACATTAAGCAAAGATGAAAGGGAGATATTACGTAAGATATCAAACAAGCGGAAACCGGGGAAGAAATGATAGTCCACTGGTATCCCGGAAACCACCTTCAAGTGATCACAGGAAATTTTCGTAATTTTACCAATAACATTGGGATTCTTCAAGCGGTCCTAAGTGTTCCTAAAGTCCCAAGAAAATTACAAAGAATTATTTTTACAATTTATTATTAAGCTTGTTATAATGTTTTAATGAGCTATTTATTAAAAATAAATAATAAACCCACTTGGAATACCAGAAATTCTTAAAGATTTAGGACCGGTCCCATACTTAGCGATTCCATAAAAATTGCCAATTTTGAATATTATAAAATATTTATGACATTTTTTTGATGGGTTACTTATTATAGATAAATGATTAAATTTCTCTAGAGTTAGTAATCTCTTAAATCGTAAGTACCGGTTAAGGACCACTTAACATCCCTAGGAATCTTTAAGTTCCACCGTAATTTGAGAATTCCATTCCTTTTCTTTGTGCGTCGGGTGAAAATTCGCATCTCATAATTAGGGTTAGAACCGAAAAGTCCGGGATTAATCCATGGTTTAATTCTTTAAATTAGACCAGGAACCCCTATTTAATTACGAGTTATTGGGCTTTATTGCATATTAATATTTCAAATCAATATTTTTTGATTTGTCAGTACATGGCTAAATTAAAGACTATTGATAATTGCAAAAAACTAACTTTAAATTATATGTAGGGTTCTTCAAATGGTTTATTTTCTATGATACAATGCAAATAAAATTTTACCATGAGAGTCAGTAGGGTTAGATTTATAGCACGATTTATTTCAAACTTAGCAAATTATTTAGTAATAAATTAAATAATACAAATAAAAAGAAAAGTATTATTAAAAATTCAGGATTTCTGAAACATTTTTAGTCTAAAATATCAAGTCCAAATATAATTACTTAAACCTTAATGAAATTCTTAATATATGAAGTGTTAAAATTTCGAAACAAAGAAGATATTGTTGTATTCAGTTCTTCGTTTATGTATTTTAAACAATTTTGTAATGTAAGCAGAAGGTATTAATGAATAATTATTGAATATAAAATACTAATAAATCGGAAATTAAAAATAAAATAATAAACGATGTTGCATATGCGAATTTATAAAGTTAAAACGGCGAAAATCGAAATTATCGCGAAGGTGTAAAAAGGAGGATTGCGAAGAGAATGTATTCAAAGAAATATATTAAAGGCGGTATATTGAGCTGTTTTAGGATTTCAAGCTCGATATATATAAAAAAATATTAATTATATTCGTGGGCCTATAAGTTCTACATAGCCAGCCTGGCATCTTGAACATTTGTCATACTGGCACCTTGACAACCTGGGCACCTTGACATCCTGCAGCCTGGAGATCTATTTTTTTTTAAAGGAGTTCGATTTTTAGGCCTGGCAAATGATCGTCAAAAGACTAACTATAATTATCAAAACGATTTACATGCGGAGTTATGAAGATTTCGGGCCGGAATTACATTCAATCGTAACAATATAAAGAAAGTTCAATATTTATTAAAAAAAGAGAGATTTTGTTTTAGAAGAATTGTAACATAATAATTTTAACCTGTTGTTTATCAAGTTCTGATACAGCATATTCATAATGTGGAAAGGAATATAAATAGTCCGGACAACGCATTAAAAGGAAAGTGAGGGATACTAACCTCAATAACAAATCAGCACGGGTTGAATTAAATTAACATCGTATAGGAGGCGATGTATTTATTCTGAAAGTGAAGAAACTGCAGATGCAAGACACTGGTTTCAATTATTAGTAAATATTTGAGGGACTTGTTTATTCGTCACACTTGATTTGTGACAAATAAGCACCAGCCAATAGAATCAAATCCACTAATTTACCTTACGATCAGATTCAACAATACATTAGTATCTGAAATTCAACAAATTTTCCAGAAATTTCCGTAAAAAAAAAATTGTGTTTTAATATATATATAGTTATAAGCCATATCCCTACTTAATCTATGAAAAAAAAAATTAATTTTAATGATTCTAGTATATGGAAAGTTTTCTACTAATCACGAACCATTAGATTTCTAAATATAAATTAAAATTACTATAAAAATATATTTGGTAAATGATAAAAATTTATTCATAAAGTACAAATATGATCTAAAAGCACATGTAATTACAATATGACTGACCAGCTGGTACGATGCAAAATCATTGACCGGAAATTCGATCATTTAATCGATTATCACAAACTAATAATGGATAACTTGGGTAAAAAATTACATTTTTATTAGATAATACTAATTTTCGAGTCATCATCAAAATTTACCGTCACGCATCATACAAATCTAGATATTGTAATTATAAACTAAAAAAAAAAATTCTGAAAAGCTATCCACACGTTTTATGATAAAAAAATTGCGCCACTATACTCGGAATAATCGTTCGTAGCAAAGTGATCGGCATTTACGTGACTTTGAAATTGCTGTATAAATTCTTAAAGTCAATACTTTGGTTATTCGGATGATCCGGATAATATTTAAAAATCCTTCATACTTATTTAATACAATGTACTCATAATTTGAAATATTCCGTTTGTCATTGTTGAAAAATTATTATTCTCAGGAAGGATAATTTTGTTAATTTATTTAAAAGTTAGTATTGAAATTAATAATGAGATTTTAGTATTCGAAACATGAACATATTTTTTATTGATACAGTATATATTTAAACAAAATAATTTAAAAAGAAATTCCATATTCACTACATAATTTCTTAGCTTTAGGATGAGCTGCCAAAGCAGCACTTCTTAAATATTGGGCACCTAGTGCCTTATCTTGTACAATACCATTGATACCATTCCAATAAGCTTTTCCAACGATAAACATGGCTGCTGGATCTTTTGAATTAGCTGAATTCTTTAAATATTTAAAAGCTTCGATATAATTATTTTCCTTTTGCCATAAATGCATTCCATATCTTAATTGAGCGGAAGGATTTCCTTTATCAGCAGTTTCTTTAAATATATCAATGGCATTTTTGATCCTTTCTTCCTCATTAATGGGTTGTAACTCAGGAATATCTTCACCATGATGAAAATAATAATACCCTACCCAATATTTTGCCTCAACATTGGTTATTGAGTGAAATTTGAAACTATTCCATGCAACTAGTTTGCTTCCATTACTGGATTTGTGTTCGCGAATTGCATCTCCAACAGGGAGAATTTTAAAAGTTACGGGTGATGAACTTTGATTATTATTTGTTGATATATTTTCCTTGTAGATCTCTGAAGAATAATTGGGCGTCGAGGCTTTATTTTCAAAATTAGAATTGGAACTAGTGTATTGACGAGGACCTATCAAATTATAAAGATCGCGACAAATACAAGATATAGTTGAACGCCACGCTGGTTCATACTCCATAGCTAAATAAAATTGAGAAAAAAATGGTAAGATTTTAAATTTAAAATTTTATTATTTTATCCGATTGTAACACACCTCTAGATACGATTTGTTTCCATTCAGAGGGCACATCATCTGAAAATGGTTCATAATACTTTTCTTGTATACGTTTTCTAATACTACCGAGTATTTCTGATTTATCTAAATCAGAATGAGGTTTTCTTAATTCTGCAATTTCCCACAGTAATGCTCCAACGCTATATAATATTAAAAAAGTTAAATAAATTTATTATATTGTAAAAGTTCTTATCGCGATCTTTGATTTAATAATTCAATTTACCTGAAAATTTCACATTTAGTATCATAAGGAACCTTTTTTCTTTTATCGTTATTTTTATCATATAATAATTTTTCTGGGGACATATACCTTATATTCTCTGGGTTATGTGAAATATTTCTTGTAATATCTGAAAATTTTTTGCTTAGACCAAAGTTTGCTATTCTAACCTTGTGATCTTGATTTATTAAAATATTTGCCGACTGGATATCATGATGAAGGATCTAATTATAATAATTTTTTTTTTAAGATAAAAAAAGACAGATTCAAAATTAACGATTTTTTAAATTGCTTACCTCACATTCATGGAGATACGCGACACCACGACAAATATCTAAAGCAAATCTTATCTTAGTTCCCCAATTCATATGCTCTCTAAATTTGGTATAATACTCATGTAAATTACCAAATTCCATCCATTCAGTAATCAAATAATATTTGGAATCCTCTTGAGCCACACCAAAAAATCTTATAATATGATCAGAATTTTTTAATTCTTTTAGAAGATTGACTTGTCTTCTGATTTCAAACTGAGTTTGCATCTCATCCGAAGATGTATTATTTGAAAATTCTTTAAATGAAACGTAAGTACAATCTTTGACTGAAGCGCGTTTTTCAATCCTTCTTGAAGGACAAATATTTGTTCTAGAATAAGAATTGCCTTCAATTAATGGTTCGTTTGCTTCTACAGTTGTTATAATATGTGAATTCGTGTTTGGGATAGTTTTGTTTTGTTTTTTGAATGTTTTGTTTCTCTCGGCAACTCGATCCATTTCAGTAAGGAATTTCTGTTGAGATTGATTATCTTCAGAGACGCCATGAACAACGGTCAATATATCTTTGATTTGGCTTACATCATGTTGTATTGTTGCAAGTTCATCTCTAGATTGTATGGTAAAAGAAAAATTTAACTTAACCATATATCAGTCAAATTCCTCCGTAAGCTTATGAAAAGTTTCGTTGATATCACTCGTATGAAAAAACCTTTGAAGTTTGTATTAGTGACTAATATCCCTAATAAAGTTTCTAATTTTTTTTATACATTTAATAAACTCTTTAAATATGCTTAGATTTTCATGCCTAAAAAAAAACTTCATGTTTTCGGTTTTTCTAATATTTAAATCTCTTACTGCAGCAATTGCACAATTATACCTTTGTAAAAGAGCACTACATAATTGTTTATTATGTTCGGCCTTTTCATACAACATTACAATTTAATTTCCCAATGAGAGGAATGTTTTGATTATTGGATAAAATTCTTCGAAACTTTGAGCTATTGAGGAGAATTCCCCTCTTAATTCTGGTTTATCTTCACAAACCTCCATTTCTTTTTCCAAATTATTATTTAAATGCATTTTTAATTCGCTTGATACTTTATTTTCATATTGAAAAATTGTCTCCTGTGAATAATCCATTGACGGAAGGGAACTGGAATCTACATCCATAACTGAATCATCCAAGCTAACTTTGATACGAGGATACTTCGAATCTATATTATTGGAACTTAAACTATTTTTTCTATCCTTCAAAGGCATCCATGTTGATTTAATGTCATCATCCTCTCGAATATTATTAAGCTCTAAAATTACTTGAGAAATATTTGGTCTTTCAACTGGTTCAAGTTGCCAGCATTCTATTTAAGAAATAAATTAAGATTATATTATTATGTGATATTGATTTGAAAAGTAAAAGTTTAATAAATACTTACTTTCATAAAGCTCAACAAATTTGGAATTAGTATTTAGAATAGGTTTCTCTCTTTTACCATTGAAAATATCTATAAGAGTTATTTCTTCAGTATCGAAAGGTGGTGAACGACTTGTTAATTCCCAGAATAATACGCCTAAGCTATAGATATCATATTGTTTTCTTAATTTATTGTTAATATTATAAAAATTAAGATTATTAAAAGTAATAGGATCCATATAAGGGGCGACACCAATCAAATTTTCAGTATAATGAATTGATTCTTCTAATCTACGTGAAATTCCAAAATCTGCCAGTTTAATTGAATGTTGATGCACTAATATATTTTTAGAATGCTATAAATTTTATAATTAATATTAGTATAATAATTATAATAAATCATGAAATAAATTAACTTACAAGATCCCGATGTATAATTTCGTTATCGTGCAAATATAAAATTGTATTTGCAATTTCTTTAGCGAATTTTAGTTGATCCTTCCATTTAAAGGTGCTAGAATTTTCCTTTAAATATTGTCTTAATGTTCCACCATTTGCATATTCAAGAATAAGTGAATAGTTTGTTCTTTTAGTAATTTCGTCTAAAAAACAAAAAAATTAAATACATTAATACAAAAAAATTTTGTATTTAGCAAAAATTGTTAAATTATTATTGTACCTTCATTTTTTGTAATTCCCCGAAATTTAATAACATTAGGATGAGAATGAACTTTCCTCATGATTTCAATCTAAAATAATAAATATAAATATTTTGAAAATAGAAATAGATAAAATAATTTAATAACATACCTCATTAATAATTTCTTTCATATTTAAAATATTGTGAAATTTTTTAATTACAAAAACTTCATTTTTCCAATTTACAGTGAAAACTGAAGTAGTCGATCCAGAACCAATTTCGGTTACATACTTAAAATCTGTATGATCATAAAAAGTAATTTCTTTATTTTCAATGGATTTTTTTAGCCACTCAGAAAATAACTTAACTTCCACAATAAATTTAATATTTTTAAAAAAAAAAAATTAAAAATAATATTAACGATTTGAAAGTAAGTACCTTTTGTTGATGCAACACAGATTTCTGATGCAGCCTCATTTGTCATTATATTTGATGCACCTGATACTCCATTATCGTCCTGTGATTGGCTGGAATAAACGGATTCATTTCTGGTTTATTATGATAATATTGCGGATTCAAATTTATACGGGGTATCTTCAACTCTTTCTCTATTCGTTGTATCATTATTATCAGTACTTTGACGCTTTTTGCTCTTAAAAGTTTCCCATTTAAATTCTCTACTTGCATAATCATGATATGTATCGTCCTTTTGAATTGAATCGAGTACAAGTTGAGTTATCTCATTCATAATTTTGTGTATTTCTGGATCTAAAGGTGTTTTCATTTCTTTAAAAATTTTATTAATACGATCTAATTCTGAATTAGTCAATTTGATAGCTATAGCTTTTTCACTATCAGCTAAAATATCATCCTCTTGAATAATATCTTGTAAAAATCGAAGTCTATTAGAAGTATAAATTTTAGGATCCAAAAGCGATATGGCTTTCCTAATAGTAAAAACTATAAAAAAATATGGCGGATCAGTAATTTCAATAGCTATTAACTTTTCTTTTTTAGTTAAAGTATTATCCTTCTGAATAATATCTCGTAAAAATTGAGCTCTATCATCTGTAATTTTGAAAGCTTTAGTGTCTAGAAGTGATAATGCTTTCTCAATAACTTCATAAATAAATTTAACCCGATCATATTTTAAATTATAATCTTTAGATCCAATAATATTTTGAGCATCGATACTTGAAAAATCGATTTTCTATTAAAAGAAAACAAAAAAAAAAAAAATAATCCATAACATTATAATCAGGAGAAAGGTAGCAAATTAAAATTAAAATTATATTTACCTGATTTAAACCTTGCATATTAACTTTATTAAAGGGAGGGATATATAAATTTCTGTAGGCAGAAGAACTATTATTCTTATTAAATGTGTACCCAGTTAAGTCTATTATATAAGTTATAAATTAGTGAGCAAAGAAGTACATTTATTATTTTTTTTTTTTTTTGTATATTTTAAATGTATTTACCGTCTGGAACTACTAAATTATGCTCTTCATTAATAATCATTTCTTCATGCAATTGCTTTTCGTCAATATCCATATTATCATTATCAACTTTTATATAATAAGTATTTTCCGTAGCAATATTATTAAGTTCTAAAATTACTTGACGAATATTTGGTCTTTTATCTGAATTATGATGCCAACATTCTATTGAAATAAATAAATAGTTATATTGTGATATTTATAAATAAAATTTAATTAAAAATGTTTTATACTCACTTTCATAGAGTTCAACAAATTTAGAATTTGTGTTTGGAATAGGTTTTTCCCTTTTACCAATGAAAATATCTGCCATATTAAAATTCTCAGTGTCGAAAGGTGGTGAGCGACTTGTTAATTCCCAGAATAATACACCTAAGCTATATATATCACACTTTTTTGTAAATTTATGACTATCAAGATCATCCTCATCAAAAGTGATAGGGTCCAGATAAGCAAGCACACCAATCAAATTTTTAGTATAATGTACTGATTCTTCTAATCTACGTGAAATTCCAAAATCTGCAAGTTTAATTGTATGTTGATGCACTAATATATTGTTAGAATGCTAAAATAAAAAATTTTATAATTAATAAAAGAAAAATAATTATGATAAATTATTAAGTGAATTAAGCTTACAAGGTCCCGGTGTATAATTCCATTATCGTGCAAACACGAAATTGCATCGGCAATTTCCTTGGCAAATTTTAATTGGTCCTTCCATTTAAAGGTGCTATAATTTTTTTTTAAATATGTTCTCAATGTCCCACTATCTGCATATTCAAGAACAAGTGAATAGTTTGTTCTTTTATCAAATTTTACTAAAAACAGAAAATAAAAGATATTAATGTAAAAAAAAAAAAAATTCTAATAATGTAATTGACGAAATTACGTTTAAATAGTACCGGATGAATGTATTGTAATTCCCCAAAATTTGATAATATTAGGATGAGAATTAACTTTTTTCATTAATTCGATCTAAACAATAAATAATGTGCAAGTTTAAGAATATTAATGATTAAAAGTCAATGTTAAAAATTTTTTCATAAATACCTCATTGACAATTTCTTTCATACTTGTAATTTTGTTGAATTTTTTAATTGCAAATGTTTCATTTTTCAAATTAACAGTAAAAACTGAAGCGAATGCTCCAGAGCCAACTTCAGTTTTATTCTTAAAATCCGTATGATTATATAAAGTAATTTCTTTTGTGTCAATGGATTTTTCAAAACACTCAGATAATAGTTTAACCTCTAGATAAAAATTAAATATTTGAATCAAAAAAATTATGAATAAATTATGATAAGATTTAATATAAGATTTATACCTGCATCTTCTATTATTATTTTAAAATCTGATATAAAATATTAGTATAATTAAATAAAGTATTTTAATGTTAATATAATTCTAAGGAAAATAAGATCTAAATTTGAAGTTGATTAAATTAATTACCTTCAACGTCTTCATCATTATAATTATCTAATAAATGAAAATTTAGTTATACATTAAAAGTTTCTTATTTGTTATCATTTGCTATATTTCTTACCTGCGTTATCAAATGCTGATTTTACCATTTCTCCATATTTATCAAATTCAGCACAATCTCCAATAATACATTTATACCAAAATTTTAATTGCTTGTATAGTCCAGGTGCTGTGGGCCTTCGGTCCGGATTAAAATTTATACATTTATTAACAAAATCCTTATAAATTTCGGGAGTTCCTTTTCCAAATTCAGGTCTACCCTTGTTTTCAAATGGAAATTTTCCAGAAGATAATTCAATCATAACTATACCAAAGTTATAGATATCAGAAGCTAAAGAATATGATTCTCCTTTTATAATTTCAGGGGAAATATATGGCATTAATTCTAATACATTATTATTTGGTGCAATCGGATGTTTAATTGGTTGAGTTAGTTTAAAATTCGTAAAATAAATTTTGAACTTTCATCTAGCATTATACTTCCACAATGGAAATTATTATGACTATATCCTAACTCATGCAAGTTCCTGAGAATTTTAGAAGTATCACGTAATATTTCAATTTTTTGTTCCCACCTTTTACATTCATTCTCAAGTAATGTACGCAAAGGTCTTTGATTTCCATAGTGAGTGACCATTATAAATTCTTGAGTTTTCGGATGTTTAGTCATTCCATAAAACTTAGATGAAACAGCAACATCTGTGTTAAAGAATTCCCAATGGTTTTTAATCTATTATTTAAAGATACAATTTTTATTAATATTAAATAAAATTTTCATATATTAATAAAGAGTAAAGAGTACTGATTTTTCTATAAGGAAGTACTCAAACCCGCAGCAAACAGTTAAAATGATGTAATTCGCTAAACTATAAATTTGAACGACCTAAATTAGAAATCAAAATAGAAAGCTATACCTCATTTAAACAATCAGCTGATAAATTAAATTGTTTCAAGAAAACTTTTACAGGTTGTGGTTCATTTTTCAAACTTCCATTTTGCTCAAGGTAATTATCTCTACCATCCAACCATACCGCCACATAAACTTTATCTAAGCCATCTTCATATAATTTTATGTCAAAAATTCTTTCAAATGAAATCCACTCAAGCCATCTTCCGCCATTCCTTGCTTTATACATAGTATCTTTGATAAATGTGTCAATACGAACATCTCCACTGGTCCATCCTTTGCTTATTCGATATGGAGAATCGCATTCTTTACATTGTTTTTCAATAAGTTCGTCGCAATATGAACATTTTCTGTTTTTAGGCATAGTTTTATAAATAAATTTCTCGACAACGATACAATTTTAATTTGTATTATTTATAATTAGTTTACTTAAACGCCGCATAACTTTATTAGTCCGAAGTGTAACGAAGGACTATGTATGGTGACAAATATCAAATTTGATCTGCATATTATATTTTATTTTACAAAAAAAAGAATCACCCGGCAAAAAATTATTTGTACGACAATAAAAATTTTTTATTAATATTATCAACTAATATAAATAATTTTAATGCATAGTTATTATTATGATTCGGTCAACTTTTCTAGATTTTTCTGATGCATTTTTTTTTTTACTAATTTAAATATCAAATATTCTTGTATAATATGAAAAGATAAAACCAAACCATTAAATAACTAACATTTTAAATTACTATCATTGGTTTCACGAAAGACATAAAATATTAATATGTCAATATTATATAGAAGCGGTAATAAATTACCCACCCATCATATCCGTAAACATCAATTTTTATTTTAACTATAATATTTTATTACAATTGAGTACAATACATACTTCCGGATCACATGATTTACTATGTCACGCGATTTGATGATGTCTTAATATCTTGATTTGTCAAGAGTATATGGAAACATGTAAGGTATAGTGACCTATATACACTCCCAAAAAATATCCAACTATCCCATCGATCATTACAGATCCTAACATATTAAAATTTAGATTATGTCACAACTAATCATATAAATTAAAAAATTTTTTTCTTATATAGATTATTGGACTTTGGAAAGAAGATTATAGTAAAAGAAATATTAAAGCTATCTACCATCAATTATAAAAATAAAAAATAAATTAAAGTTATTTTACAATCAGATAAGCCACTAAAATTAACAAAAAGAGATGTTAGACATCTTATAAAAATTGTTAAGGAAAATTGTCAATAGTCTTTAGATAAATAACAGAAAAATTTAATAAATCTAGTATGTCATAATACTGTAAGAAGTGTTTTATATTCTGAGGGTTTTTTGGTTAAGCTAATAAGAAAAAATAATTAATTTTAAAGTAAATCATAAAAAAGATTAGAATAGTGTTGTAAAGAAGAAATTAGAATTATAAGCAGTATTCAATTATATAAAATGATGAATTCCATTTTTTATTATTCTAAAATAATGCTTATTATTAGGATTAATAGACCACATGAAAAATTTGATATAAAAATCAAGGTGTTATTATATGAAAATGTTTATGAAAGATAGACTTAATCTTTTAATTTAAGTTTCTGATAAGTTACAGATTCTATATATATTAATATATTAAAAAATACTTTTTTACTATTTTATAATAATTTTAAAAATAATTTACAGTATATTTTTCAAGATAACAATGCTTTAATTTATAAAGCAAATGCAGTTAATTAATAAAAAGAGAATAATTTAGTATTAAATCTTTTATAACCTGCATAAAATCCAATTTTAATATAATTGAATATCTATAAAATATTTTAGAAAGAAAAGTTTAGATATATAAACTTCATTCAAAAATATTAGAAAATTAATGATAGAGAAATAGAATCAAATCAAATCTGAAATTTTAGTAAATTTAATTAAAAATATATCAAGAAGACTTTAACCTATAATAGGTAGTTATGATAATCTAACTAGAATACTAATAATATAAATAATAAATATGAGATTTTTTAAGTTATATATATAAATTTTATAAAAATTTTATTAATAAATTGTTAAATAATAAAATGTCAAAATTAACTATAATTTAAATGATCAGTAAATAATCAGTAAAATAGGTAAATAATTTTTGAATATATATATTATAACTAATATATAGTAATATATAATAATATAAGATATCTATTATATATACATATATAAATTCTATAAGAACCCTGAATATTTCTCATTTAACTCATAAGTGATATATAGTAAAATATATTTTTATAATAACTCTATTAATATTAATACTAGAAATATAATTTTACTATTATTAGATTTAGTTCATCAAGAAAATTACAATAATATTAAGATCATCTAAATCTAATTACTGATTAGTTTAAAAACTGAGATACAGTAGCAGTCATAAGTATCCGACCGCCTGAAATCGTTCAAAATTATTATATAACTACCCCTTAAATTTTCCAGAAATATAATACATAATCACCTGTAAATTTATAAGTGTCAATGATACAAAAAAAAATTTAGATGATCATCAAACTTTCGCTTGAAAAATGGA